CCCGCCCAGCCCTGCCCAGAGCCACCCGGCTGTTTGCTGGGCACGCGCTGGGACGGGACTGTGCCAGTGGGCAACTGGGGCCTGTTGGTTTCCCTCGGGCGGGGTCCCACACCCACAGCCCAGAGGAAGGCTTGGGGCTCCATGGGCATGTTCATACAGCTCCTTAGCTCCCAGACTCGCTGGGAACTGGACACCCACACAGGAGGAGGAAGGGGAGAAAACCAGCTCGAACGACAGCAGAGTGCGAGGGGTGGGGACATACAAGAGCCAGGGCACACGGCGGGGAAAGACGGGCAGCCCCGACTCACCGAAAAACTGCTGCACATTCAGAGGGGACATCTCCCCGTTCTCTCCCAGTCGGGTCGTTATCCTGGACAGGTCACACTTGGCTTTCTTGAACAGCGCCTCCACAGTGGATTTGAGCTGGCCCACGACTCTGCTGCTTTCTTTGCATTTGTCCTCGTGCCAGTTCGCTTCCTCAGTTGTCTGCCCGAGTTTTTCCTATCAGCAAAGATTTTGGCAGAGGTCACACCAGTCCCCTGCTCTTCCCCCCACCCCAGTGCTGGTCAGTTCCAGTATGGACACTGGAGACATCCCAGTTCAGGGATGCTCCTGTCCCTGCAGGAGAAAGACCCTACGAAGGGGGTCCCAAGCTCCCCAACCCACAGGTGAGGCCCCAGGCGCTGGAGGACCAGGGCTGGCAGGAGCCCTGCAGTCACCCTCTCACCATGCACTGGGGCCTCTCAGGAGACAGGGCTACCAAAGCCACTCCAGGGCCCTTTTCCGCCCACACCTCTCCAGCCCTTGGCCGGAGCACTGTTGACAGGACCAGACTCCCCAGGACACGTGCTGGGATGGACAAGGATCTGCTGCCCTTGCAGAGGGAAATCTGGGCTGCCATACCTCCAGCTCCTTCAGGACATCAAGGCTGCTGCTCTCGGCGTCCTCTTGCTCTCTCACGAGAGATGCAATTTCGTTCTGTGTGAACACAAGCACGGAAAGGGATTGCTGGAATTGAATTGGACATTGCTGGACATGCAATTTCGTTCTGTGTGAACACAAGCACGTGAAGGGATTACTGGCTGAATGTCCACCAGATGTGCCCAACCGAGCCTGGGGACCAGGGACGCACCAGATGTGCCCAACAGAGCCTGGGGACCAGGGACATCCCGCTTGACCCCTCTGGGGACCACTGTCCCAGCCCAGGAGGGCAGGTGATGACCCCACAATGGGCAGCACTTCCCACTGCAGCCAGCCCCACCGGTGGCTGAGGTGGCTCTTGGCCCTCCTGGATAGTGCAGTATTTGTGCTGGGTACATGGTGGCAGCATTGAAACAGTTTTAGCTCTGAGAAGGCAGCGGGGTCTGACTAGTGGAGTCATATTTTTGGCTGCCCCTTTGCATTCCCCTAGTCGTGCCATGTGGCAGGCTGCGAGCTGGGCTCTGGTGTGGGCAGTGATGCTGGACACATGGGAGGGGAAAACCACCCCAATTCAAAAGTACCAGCTGAGAAAGGGAAGAGATGAAGAGCCCGGAACAGACCTGGAGGTCACGGATCCTCTGCTGCATCCGCTCTATCTCGTTGTTCAGCTCAACAACAGAGCTGAAGCGCACAAAGTTGTTGTGCTCTTTTAGGAGGAAGCTGTTCACCAGCCCATCAAGGTCCCTGTCCTTTGCCATTTCCAGCAGATATTCATAAGTCACTTCCCAGCTCTCGAAGGTCTCCCATCGGAACTGCTTCTCCTCCTTGGCTGCCTTCAAAGCTGAGGGTGAGACGGAGACCCTGAGTTGTGCGTGTCCCCACGGGCTGCCCTTTGCAGAGCCTTCCCCTGTGGGTGCGGTGGGGTTTGGCAAGGAGCTCGGCACAGGGGGGGAGGAGTGCTGGAAGGGCAGAGGGAAGGGGGCAAACACAGTGGGATCCCTCTCCAGGAGGATTAAAAGGAGCCGTGGGTGCACAGAGCGGCAGGTCTCTGCCTCCCCATCCCTCCCTCTGGCCCATGGGCACCCCAAGACGCGGGGTGCTGGCTGGTCTCACTTGGTCATCACTGTTTGTCCTTTTGGCTTGCAGAGGAGAGGTCCTGCCTTGGCGTGCAGCGTTATAAATCGCTATAAGCAGCCCCCTTGCCAACCCCAGACTCCTGGTTTGCGGTCCCTGTTGCACGTATTTTCCCTCATCCGATACCTTTTTTGGCTTTGGCCTGTTGCTCCAGCTCAGAGCGATCTGTACTCTTCATAAACATGAAACTTTTCAGCTTGGTGTCCTGGGCAAGGACACGCTTCCGCTCCTGAAGCTCAATATTGTAGTTGCTGGTGTCCTCAGCATGCTGTTCTTTCGCAGAGGAAATGCGTGCCAGAGCCTCCATCCTGCCCACAGACAGCAGCAGGTTACACCACGTGTAGGTACAAGGATTTGCATTCCTGGCAGTTCCCGTGCATCTCCGGCCTCCCTGCACTGACCAGGCACCCAGCCCCTCGCGCCCAGCTCTCATCGAGAGCAGGGAATGCTCTCTTTGAAGTTGCAGTCACCCTCTCTTCACATTGACACTCATCACCAGCACTGCCCGTCTGTGCCAAGGTTGTCACAGAGGGTTCGCAAGGCCACGTACCGCTGCTCGTAGGCTTCTTTACATTCCTTAACGGCAGCGTCCATCCCTCTCCTCTGGTGATCCAGCTTCTTATTGATCTTCAGGTAGTTTTTGTCCAAAATCTTCTTCTGAATCCACAAGCTTTCAATCTCGTCTCTAAGCATGCTATTTCTCGTCACGGTGGTATCAAATTGGACAGTGACCTGGGGAGAGGGAAGCAAACGGTTTGAAGCTGGTGCAGGACTGGGAGGCTCAGGTCTCTGCTGAAAGACCTTGACCAGGGCTGGGACAAACACAGCCCAAGAGATGTTAAGAGATGTTAATTTGGCCCCGCACTATCCTCCTCCCCAAGACAGAGGGGACAACAGTAGGCCTGGCTGATGGCAGCAGAGACCTGGAGCTGCCATTGTCCAAGGCGAGGTGCTTCAGGCAGCTTGGTTTTCCCACTAAAGAGGTGCAGACCTTCAGGCCTCTTGGCATGGCACCAGTGCTGCATTTAGCTGTCATCAAGCTAGAAGAGGCCTTTGAGAAAGCCTGGCAGCAATCAGGCCAGGGGAACAAGCCAGCTCCTTTACGCAGCTTGTGTCAACCAAATGCATTTGCACCGTTACCTTCTGTCCTCACCAAAAAGGGGTTTGCACACAGGCCCCAGCGTGGTCCTGCCCGTGGTCTCCAAAGCTCTGCAAAACGCTTGCTTACGTGGTTTAGCCGCATCTCCAGCATCTTCATCTGCTTTTGTAGCTGTTTGCTACTGTTGGCTTCCTCCACCTTCAATGCCATCTGCCTCACAATCTCTTTTTCCAGCTCTGGTATCTGCACACACAGAGAAAAAAAAAGTATAATCTCCACCCTTACGTTCTGGACTCTTGTCAGGACACTCAGCCAAAGAAAATACCCTCTGTTGACCTGAACTACTGCAACCGTGTCATTAATGAGCTCCCAGTTAGAGAGGCAGCATTAATCCCAAAGGATCCCATCCTGCACATGCAGAAACATCAATCATAACTAGGAATGGATTTATTTTTGTGTCACGAAGGAAACACAGCTGCCTGTGGAGGGAAATTCAGCAGGTGTTGGACAACGCACAGCCAGCACTGTGCAGAGCAGAAGAGGCATCGAGGACAGTTTTTTGGTAGTGATATTGTGCTGGCTGGGCAGGGAACAAAAATGCTCCATTTTTGCCTCTTTTTTCAGGAGAAAAAAGAAGTCAAGGGAAAAGCAGAGGGATGTTGCGTGACCCCAGGCAGGTACGTGCCATCAAAGAGGAGCTGCAGACACCAGTGGGACAAGAAGGCTGCGAGTCAGACCTCCCTTTTCTAGCCAGTGCTGCTGACTTGAATGGGACCCTGGCTCTATCCATCTGTCATTGTCATGTGCCTTTTGCCAGGGAGCAGCATTATATCCCAAGGCCTGAATTAAATGCATCAAGGAGTCTCAGCCACAGGGCTCGCTCTGTGACTCCACTCTCCTCCACCACGCACAGCCAAGGAATGGTCCAGATGCTCTTACCTGCTTGTCCAGGTCTGCTAACTTGGCTTTTCTCTTTGTAATCAGAGAATCACACTGATTCCTGATCTCCAAAAGGCCCTGGAGCTCCACACATCTTTTGTTTTCCTGCATTTCATTCCTCTTGGAGGAAATCTGGCTCAGAGTTAATGACAGGTCTTTATGTTCTTGAGTCAGCGACTCTATTTCTTGTCTGTAAAAATGGAACGACAAACGACATTTAGCACATCCCTCCTGCAAGGCCGGAGCAGGTCCTTATCGCTCCCCACCTCATCACCGAGGTCCCCGGATCTTGGCACGGAGGAACTCCCCGAGCACAATGCAGCCAAGCGAAGCGGCGCTCACCTCTGAGCCTCCATTTGCCGTCTCACGTTGGCACCGTAAGATTTCCTCTTCTCCGCTGCTATCTGGAACTGCTTCTGCAGTCTCTGGATTTCAGCTTCAGCCAACATTTCTTCATTTTTCACAGAGAAGCTCACAGCCTTCTGCTTCAAAGAGGACCCTCCCTGCTGCCACAGAGCAGGAGAGTTTGGTCACTTGAGCAAACAGGGCCAGTAGTGGGAGACAGCGGAGCTGGACACAGCGGAGCGCGTTAATGGCATCACCATCTCCGGCTGTTCCGTCACCACCTTCAGCTCTTCGCTGCCACCCAACATATTCGTTGCCTCCCGAAAGACTGAGCCACATGAACCAACTCCCTGAG